TAGTGTATTGTATTCTACGGAGGTGGTCTCCCAAGGAATGGAGCAGCATAGAGGCCTGGTGCTCCAAAGACTTCTCTTTTCTATCACTTTTTTTTCTGTTTTTAAACGTGTAATATTTTACTTTATCTATTTTTAGCTGTGCCGCTCTGCACATGGGATCTTAGTTCGCCGGCCAGGGATTGAACCTGTGCCCCATGCAGTGGAAGCACAGAGTCCCAACCACCGGCCTGCCAGGGAAATCCCTCCAGTGACTTCTTTTTTTTAATTTTTTAAAACATCTTTATCGGAGTATAATTGCTTTACAATGGTGTGTTGGTTTCTGCTGTATAACAAGGTGAATCAGCTATACGTATACATATATCCCCATATCTCCTCCCTCTTGCATCTCCCTCCAGTGACTTCTGAATGAATAACAGAATGCAGGGGATGGAGGCATTTTGGAGGACAGGTAACTCTGTAGCACAATCCCAGGGAGCTGCCTGGTCTGCAGGCCTGAAATGCTCTGGGGTGCCTTGAGGTGCTTCTCCTTGTGGCTGTGGCCTGCTCAGTACATTGCTGGCTCCTGGAAGTGGACTTGGGTAGGAGGCCTGTCACCTATGTTGTCAGGGTCTCTGGGAAGTAGGCCTGGTGGGGAACAGTCCATATTTCCCTGAAGACCATGGTCAACTTGAGAGGATGCAGTGCTTGTGTGTGAGACCCAGAGGCAACCAGGGAGGGCAGACCTGGGGTGGGTCAGCCCAGCCCTAGGACCTGGGATGACTCAGTCCCCTCCTCATGTGTCCTTTTTGGAGCAGACTCTTGGGAAGTGTATTTGTTTTACCCTCTGGCTCCTTGTTGTAGCCCCTGAATCAAGGTAGCTATCCGAGTTACATGTCCCTGGGCCCCAAGGGCTGCACATTTGCATCTTGTAGCCTCACGCCTTCTTCTCCTTCTGCCTTAGAATTAACACCAGGAGGTCCTTCCTCCTGGGGTCCTGAGTCAGGACTGGGTTCCAGGATGGGGACCTCCTCGCTGCCCCCAGCCTTGCTGTCTCACAGATGGGGCAGGTTTGAGACCTCTGTGGTGGACTCTCATTCTGCGACTTTACCCACCAGCTCTAGCCCTGCAAGTGGTGTCACTGAGCTCATCTTAAAAGTCTGAGGGCTGGACACCTGGCCTGTCCACCACCCATATACACATGCATGTGCGCGCACACACACACACACACACAGACACAATCGCACGCATGTAGTGCTTCTCTAACCACCAGCTGGTCCCAGTCTGTGCCTTGGTCCAGGAGTGGGATGACAAGTAAAATAAACAGACCTCCTGTTTACACATGGTCCTTTTCTCTAAGCCAGCGTTATCCAATAGAACTTTCTTTTCTGATGGAAATGTTTTATATCTGCCCTGTCCAATACCACTGATGGCTATTGAGCGCTTAAAATGTGGCTAGGGTGTGGAACTGAAGTTTAAATTTTATTTCAGTTAGAATCATGTAGCCACATGTAACCAGTGGTTAGCAAATTGGACCGTGCAGATCTTGACTTACAGGGATCATCTTGCTTTCCAAATAAAAACTCAGGACCCAGGGCCCAATACACGGGAGTGGACATGTAGGGCAAAATATTTGAAATTGAGACTGAATGCTAATTCCTGGACACTAGATTTGTGCTTGAGCCCTAGCTTAGGTTTAAAAATCTCCTCTCTCCTTCTTTTATACATTTTTATTTCTAATCCTCACAGAAACTCTGTAAAGAAGATAATCTTACTCCCTTTTTGCAGGTGAGGCAAGTGAGGCTCAGAAAGCTTAGTGATGGCCCAGGTCACGCCCCAGAGCTGTCTAGTTCCAAAGCCAGCCTCCTCCCACTGGGCCACACTGCCGCTCCTTAGGCCTTTTGAGGTCAGTTCTTCAGAGGGTGGCCCAGCCCTCCCCCAAAGCCCAGGGCACAGTTGCAGTGAGAAACCTGGGTACAGAGCTCTCTGAGTTCCATGGCGGAGGAGAAGTTACTGGTGTATCCAGGAAGGGAAGGGAGCAGCCGGCCCACCCTGAGAGCCCGAACTGCACCCCAGGCATCTCCCATGCAGAGCCCACTGGTGTCTTATGGAGGAGGGTGTGTGGGAGGTGCCAGGTCCAGGGCCTGCCTCCTGCCTAAAATTTGCTTGCTGTCTGAATTCCAACAGTGACAGGCTGGTTTTCTCTCTCAATATCTCATTCACTTGCTCTCTCACTCTTTTTTTTTTTTTTAATAAATTTATTTATTTATTTATTTATGGCTGTGTTGGGTCTTCGTTTCTGTGCGAGGGCTTTCTCTAGTTGTGGCAAGCAGGGGCCACTCTTCATCGCGGTGCGCGGGCCTCTCACTATTGCGGCCTCTCTTGTTGCGGAGCACAGGCTCCAGATGCGCAAGCTCAGTAGTTGTGGCTCACGGGCCCAGTTGCTCCATGGCATGTGGGATCTTCCCAGACCAGGGCTCGAACCCGTGTTCCCTGCATTGGCAGGCAGATTCTCAACCACTGCGCCATCAGGGAAGCCCTCTCACTCTTTTTTAAGAAGAAAATATAGGAGAAATTCTTTGATAGATTGGTTTTGGGGGAGGCAAAGGGGGTTTTGATAGGGAGGAGGGTCATTTGAAGGGTGGGGTTAGAGGGAAAGGCAGGTCTGGGTGGAGTTCCAGAATGTGCAAACTTTAGTCAAAGAGCCTTGAGGACACAGGGTTCCTGAAGGGCAGTGTGGGATGAGCAAAGAAGCAGGGGGGATCATGGGGAACACTGGTAGGCCACATGTGGGGAGACACTGAAGGCAAACTTTTCAACCCACTTAAACTCTAGTCTGCTTCTCTCAGAGCTCTTAAACCAGCCTGGTTCCCTCCTGCCCCAGGGCCTTTGCATGCACTTCTCCCAGTATCCCCAGCCCTCACTAGCTTCTGCCTGGTTCACCCGTCCCCTTCCTCCTTCAGCTCCTAGCTTATAGATAGATAGATTGCTTTCTCAGGGAGGTCTTTCCAGCTTCCAGGCTTTGTTGTATGTATTGTACTGTAGGTTCTCACAGCATCTGTTCCTTTCCTCCATGTGCTTAGCTCAGCTTCTAATTATTTACTTGTTAGGATTACTATTTGGTTAATGTCTTACTCCCTCATTGGATTCTAAACCTCATGAGAACTGGGACCGTGTGTGGTTTTGCTCTTGATTTTAGCCTCAGCAACTTAACCCTGATGCCCGGGACGTAGGTGCCACTCTATAAATATTGGCTGAAAAAGTTAAACAAAGGTGAAGTTGGCCCATCTACCACAGGATTTTCTGCCCCTTTCCACAAAGAACTTGGGTTTGCCCAGACTGGTCACTAGAACTGTGGTTTGTCCATCCCCAAATCCCCCTTAATTTTCTTCTCTCATTCAGGGAAGAAAATATGTATTGGTTATAATGCTTTGGGCTACAAGTAACCAAAAAGTCAACTAACAGTAGCTTAAACCCTAGGGGGATGTTTTTATTTACTTAACAAAAAGTCTGGAGATAGATGGTTTCAGACTTGATTCAATGGCTTAATGCTGCCATCAAAAACCAGGCTTTTCCCATTTTTCTGCCCTGTCATCTTCAGTGTGTTTGCAGCAACAAACGTCACATTCTCTCAAAAGTGTCCCAAACTGGAAGGAAAGGGACAAAAAGGGACTGGGAGCATATTGTTTCCAAGACTGAATTTAAAAAATTAAGCGACCATCTGTATAAACCTCTAGGATAGTACTTACGACAAGGCTTTGTAGTTCTTTCTTTTTCTTAATTTTTAAAATTTTTATTTATTTTTGGCTGCCGTGGGTCTTCGTTGCTGCGTGCGGGCTTTCTCTAGTTGCGGTGAGCGGGGGCTACTCTACGATGCGGTGCGCGGGCTTCTCATTGCGGTGGCTTCTCTTTGTTGCAGAGCATGGACTCTATGTGCGCGGACTTCAGTAGTTGTGGTACCCGGGCTCAGTAGTTGTGGCACACGGGCTTAGTTGCTCCACAGCACGCGGGATCTTCCCGGACCAGGGCTCGAACCCGTGTCCCCTGCATTGGCAGGCGGATTCTTAACCACTGCGCCACCAGAGAAGTCCCTGTAGTTCTTTCCTGACCTGTGACCACCCCTCCCCAGTCTCCTCCCCAACCAGCTTCTTCGTAAGAGAGATTGTACTATAGGAATTTCCTCTACCAGCCCCTAGCACAGTCCGGGCACTCTTGGTGCTCACAGAATGGGGAGCCCTTAAGGGGGCCAAGACTGAGAGGCGGGGAGGGGCCACAGAGTGGGGAGAGGCTGTGCCCATTGCCAGACTGGGGAACTCAGGGGAAGTGGGGTAGCACAGGAAAGAGGAATCGGGAAGTCTGAGACAAGACTGGAGAGAGTTGTGGCAATATTGACACAGTCAGAGGGAGCTGCAAAAAAGGGAAGGGTGTGGATGACGAGCTTGTGCTGATGCAGCTACCTTTAGGTCCCGAGTGTTTCTTCCATCTCAGGGCGTGTTGTTTCCCCCCAGAGAGGGCAAGTGTGTGGCTGTCACCCTACTCGGAAGCATCCAAGTGCAAGTGAGCCCTTGGTGGGTGTTTCTGATGGCTCCTGCAATAGTTGGAGGAATTCAAGGATTTTAAATCCCTCTCTTTCTTCTCACCTATTATGGTCCAATGGAACCGAATGCTCAACACCAGGCAGGGGAGAGAAGCTGAAATATTAGGGGTCATTAAGAGAGAAGGAAGTAGAACCAACCCCCTCCACCCCCATCTTCCCTCTCACATCCATTCTCAGCATCCTACATCCTCCCCATTTCTTGGGCCCCAGACTGCTGAGGCTTCAATGGGGGGCAAAGCTCAAGGGGTCAGGCTGGCTCTCAGGGTGCCATCGGATCAGGAAAGCCATGACCACTGCTGTGATCCCATCATGTGCTTGGGAGTCGGTCCCCCCCGTGGTCCTAGCCCAGCTCTTGTCCATCAGAGCAGACCCAGCTCCCCTCCATTGCATCCTCCCCTCTCATTGCCTTAATTCTTCCCAGGTCTCACTTTGAGAGGAAGGACGTCATCCCAACTGGCTCAACTGCTTTGCCTTGCCTGGGGAAACAAAGTTTAATATGCAGAATGAAACCATTTTAATGGCTGGCTTATGCTGCCCCAAACAAGACATCGGTAAGTGGTTTCTCAAAATAACACATCCAAAACCAAAACACATACCACATCAAACATTTAAAATATTCAGTATGACTCTCAGATTACCTTTTCCTGTGGAAAGATAATCAGCAATGGCCTCTAGGACACTCCACACAAGAGAGAATACTGTTGGATCTGAGAGCATCTTGGCCGAGCTCCTGAGGAGGGAAGAGGATCTGAACCTCACCCTTGGGGTTTTCAATGATCTCAGCAGAGTTAGGAGCCAAAGACGAGGGATCATGGCTGTGAGACCTTTGAAAGTATGGGAACCTCTGTAATTTGCCCTGTTGGAGGTTTCATTATCTGCTACCCCCTTCACTCTGGGGACGATCGGTAAGCCCCTCAAACAGCAGCAGAGGAAGGACAGGATGTGTGCTGGTTTGGGGGAGATAGTGTGGATGGAGTCCGCTTTAAAGAGGAGCTGAAAGTTGCAGACTCCTGGGGTTTGCAACTCAGAAGCAAAGACAACCCAGAGCAATTCTAGGCCTGAGGTGTGTCCAGGGGGTCAGGACCACTGTGTGAAGAAGGGAGAGCGTGGGCAAGCTGAGCGGAGGGGCTGACATTTTCCAGCTGTGCTCTCCAGTCCTCTGGCTGGAGCAAGGACCCAAGGCCCTGGAGGAGTCAGAACTCACGCAGTCCTCCCCAGGCTCCAGGACCCTTTCCTCCATCCATAAGGAAAAACTAGATGAGTCCAGGAAATCGGAAAGGTGGAGTGTTGGAGGTGGCTGGGGACGGGTGGGGGGAAATATGCTCCAAGTGGCTGAAGACTATGGGAGATAGGGGGCGTACTCAGCAGAAAGGCTACACTCATATTTGTGACAGTGCCTTTTAACTGAAAAGCGCTATCCAAATGCTGTTGTAAAATCTTTGCGTTTTCTCCAAGTATAAGAGAAGAACTTCTGCCTAGTGGCCGTTAGGGGGCAGCCAAGTCCCACAGGGTCGAGATGGCTTCCGTGGGGAAGGACCACCTCGGTCGGCCAGGGGAGGGCATGAGGGGCAGCCCTGGTGGGCTGTGGCCCACGGAGAGTCTGTCAATGGTGGACCCAGGGGCTTCAACCCGAGGTTGAAGCAGGCCACCTTTGTCGGGTGCTTGCCTCCTTGCTCTCTGCAATCCCCACGTATGCCCAAAACACACTCAGAGCTTCCTGTCTGCCACCCAGGGCCCACCCACCTGCTGTCCCACACAGAGCCCGTGCTAGGACCCGCCTGCCCCATCCAATTTTAGTTCTCATTTCCTCGCTTTCTGCTAAAACACTGGCTCATCTGAGAAACACATTTGCGCTGAATGGCAGATGACAATTTACTGTTTAGCCCATCCAGGGGTATCCGACTTGAGGGGATTCGATCCCGAATGATGATGGGGTAAACTTAGTTTCCTCAGGCCCCTGCATGGGGGGTTATAGTAACTTGTGAGACACTATATTTTTCTGGTATACTCTGCCACTGTTATGGGACCATCCAAAAAGCCTTTTGCACACATTTCTGAGACTCTCCAGAGAGTGTCTTATAGGAGCTCCACCTATGCCCCAGACCTCCAGGGGGAAGCTCCTGACTGTTTCTACTGCAACGTTACAGGGACCACCTGCCTTCCCCCGTGCAAAAGTGTCCTCAGCATACCAAGCCCAAAGCAATATCATAAAAATATTCGCAGCCAGCACTTACATAACACTTATATGCCTGGCACTTTCCTAAGGACTCATATGCACTCAGTCTTCACAACAACTCAGTGGGGGGAACTACTGTTATTACCCCTGCTACACAAATGAAGAATGTGAAGCCCAGGGAGGTTAAGTACTTTGACCAAGGTCACAGAGCTGCTTAGTGGAAGAACCAAGATTCTGGGTTGTTGTGAAGACTAAGTGTGTGTAAGTCATTAGGAAAGTGTCAAGCAGCCTGGCTCTTCAGCCAGGTCTTTAACCAATGCCCACAATGCCTCTTTACAGAGCTCAAGAAACCGGGTTTTCAGCCCGGAGTCACCTCACAACTTTTCTTACTAGGACTCAGTCTGGGGCAGACATTTACCCTACTCAGCGATGCCTGTTCCTTTGGAACTCAGACTCTGTTTTTCAGGTAGACTTCAGGGCCTGGCACTCCTTCCTTTAATATTGGTTATCTACCAGGCTACTCCTACAGGCAAACTCCCCACAGCCCTTCCTGCCGCCACCCTGGGATCTAGGCCAGGAGAGAGACAGGCTTTGGTTTGAAGAAGCCTGGTAGACTTTTGGCAGCCTCTCTCATCTGGTCATCCTAACATTGGTCCCCGTGGCAGGTGGAATTACCCCATTAGGGTCAAAGGAATCATAGGATCATGGAGTAGGAAGGAATACAAGGCTCAAGACCCATCCTCTCATTTTATATAAAATAAGAGCCCACAGAGGTGAAATAACTTGCTCAAGTTCACCAAGCTCAGGCTATCACTAGAGACTAAATCATTTCATTAATAACAACAACAAATTAATATTTAGTAAGTGCTCACTACATGCCAGGTACCAACAGTTAGCCCTTTATATGCATTATCTCATTTCCTTCTTTTGACATCCCTGTAACCTGGCTCTATTTGATCTTCATTTTACAAATGAAGAAACTGGGATTGCAGGAGATTAAGTAACTTGCTCAAGGTTGCATGGCTTGTGAACTGTGGAGCTGAGATTGAACCCAGGTTTGTCTTTGACTCCAAAGTTGTTGCTCTTGAACTATTATAGTGTATAAGGGAATCACAAGCATCCTTGTTAAACTCTGACAAGAGGAGGGCAAGCCTGGCTATGTCTTGGTTAGAGCTGGGGCCCATGGAGACAGGCCATAGTCATACATGCCAGCCCCCTCTTATGCTCGACAACCCCACACCCTGGATGACAAGGACCCAGGGCCTCCTGGGACAGAACCTGAATGCTGTATACAATCTGAGCTCACTTATATACAGTTGGGGCTTGGGAAAGATAGGTTGTGGGGAATAACATCAGGGCACTGCTAAAGTGGGGAAGGATCCTCACCTGGTGGCTCCAACTCAAAACCAAGGCCAAAATGCCTCTGGTTCTGGAGAAAGGCTGCGCTGGCCCCGCAGCTGGTGCCGGACTGAAATGTCAGTGCTCCGAAGGAGAGGGCTGTGTGGCAGAGCCGTAGGAGCCTTCCCACTGGGGGCTCAAGGGACTTTGCTCTAAGCCTTATACCCCCAAAGCAGGATGAAGAGGGGGCCTTTATTGGCAGAAGGCTGACCCAAGTAGAGTGTCACATTGACCAGCTAGTGCTGATGGTGTCGAGGGGATAGAGCTTTCGAAGAGGCCAGTGGTGACAACTGGAGGAGTGGAGTCTTGGCAGTGAATGGGCTGGTGCGAGTGTCAGACACAGCCCTGGGACATAGAATCAGGGGGAAGGACCCAGATGAGCCCTCAGGACCTTGGAGGACCTGCTCATCACCTGGCAGGGGGTGGGCAGAGAGCTTCATTAAGTGGAGGCAAGGCTCTGCTTCCCATTCTGATCCCTCGGGGACTCTGATTAAATCACCTCTTTTTTTTTTAATTTTATTGAAGTATAGTTGATTTACAATGTTGTGTTAATTTCTGCTGTACAGCAAAGTGACTCAGTTATACATATATTCTTCTTCATGTTCTTTTCCATTATCGTTTATCACAGGATATTGAATATAGTTCCCTGTGTTATACAGTAGGACCTTGTTGTTTATCCATCCTATATATAATAGCTTGTATCTGCTAATCCCAAACTCCCAGTCCTTTCCTCCCCCTCCCACTTCCCCATTGGCAACCACAAGTCTGTTCTCTATGTCTGTGAGTCTGTTTTTGTTTCATAGATATGTTCATTTGCGTCATATTTTAGATTCCACATGTAAGTGATATCCTGTGGCATTTGTCTTTCTCATTCTGACTTAGTGTGATAACCTCTAGGTCCATCCATGTTGCTGCAAATGGCATTATTTTATTCTTTTTAATGGTGGAGTAATACTCCATTGTACATGTGTATACCACATCTTCTTTATCCGGTCATCTGTCGATGGACATTTAGGTTGTTTCCATTTCTTGGCTATTGTGAATAGTGCCGCTATGAACGTAGGGGTGCATGTATTTTTAGAATTATAGTTTTGTCTGGGTATAAAGCATTTACTTCTTGCCCTGCCTTTGGGATGAGCACAAGACCTCAAAATGCTCTGGGAAAATGCCTTCCCAAATATGCCTTTGTCTTTACACACAATTCTATAAGTTGCCCCAATCACTTGGCAAGAGGGGTCCCTATTCTCTCTAGATTTCAAAAAGGTAAATCAGACAATGTGAAATCCATGGCAGGGCTGGACACCCAATTCTATTTTCCAAACTGTGGATTAACACAAGCAAGGAAAAATGGCTCAGGAGATATGAGCTGGGTCATGTCCCAGGAGCTCCTGCACCGGAAGCTCAGGAGAGACGGAGGTTCCTACCTGAGGGCCATTGGTGCCCACATTCTAGATGTCTTCTCTGGGCGACGATGGAAATGGGCACACAATTCTATTTACATTTTCCCCTTCATTACACATTAAAATATTTTTAACATATTATTTTCACTATGTGCATGCAACAAAAAAAGGATACAGTGAGAAGTAAATGTCCCTCCTGCCCTTCCTCTCTGTCCTGCCCACCCCACAGGCAAACACTAGTGATTGATAACATCTGCCTGATGCTTTACAATTTAAACAATGATTTCCCATAAACTGTCTCATCAGACCCCAGCAATAACTCCCTAAAATATGTTAGGTATAAATTTTTATTGTCTCCTTTTACAGATTGGGAGTCCAGCTCAAAGAGATTAAGTGACCAGCTCAGAGCGACACTTCTGGTAAATGAGAGTCGAGATTTAGGCCCTGGTGGTCTGAGCCCAGTTTCCGAGCTTTTTGAATTACATCACACTGCCTCCCTTGCAAAAGAGCCCTGGGTTCTTAGAACTTGGAATATGCCATAAATAGTTCACCTTCTACAAAGAGAGACTTGTGGTTG